TGCATCACATTTGGCTTGCGTCACGTACCCAACTTAAGTACTAGTTTTACCATTGGCATTATCATTTTAGATTTCACTGCACGTGCAGTAGGATACTAGTGTGCATCATTGCATATATGTCGGTAGGAATTATTTCATTTTGTGTTTTAACTGGATTATATTTCATGAAGATGACAGGGCCTAAATAATAACAATCGGTAAGTACAAGTTTTGGTATAGATTTGGGTAAAATAGTCTGAAATGCAAACGGTTAGGTTAAAGTTTAAAGGATCAAAGGTCATCCGATGCTACAATAGACGAATTTCACATTCTGAAGAGTTATCCCCCGTTATCAACGTTACATTCAGTTACAAGATCCAGAATTTTTTTTCTGGGAGGGAGGGGGGGGGGTTCCAGACCAGAATTTCCTGAGAAGCAAGAAAAAAAAGAAGTTATGGTTTGGTCTGTTTTCTAGGGTGGAGGGACACTTAGGGCATCCAAAGTCATTTTTATTTCTTCCGTATATATTATAGTCCTGCAAATTCCGGGGGAAGGGGGGGGTGTTGAGGGGATCTCCCAATCCACTTCCCTGTCCCTGTAATGACAAATGATCATGTGACTCCTAAATAGTAGGAAACTTTTTCCATTTGACTATACATAATATTGTTTCTTGTGTTATTATGTTATGTAAATTTAATGGTATAAAGGTTATGAACCCCTAGAGGTCATCCTCACTCTCCTAATGAGCTGGAAATGTTCACAATATGACTGCCTTAAATTAAATAAAAGTGCATCAATGATAAGATTACTTGACATTTTATTCATGAATTTGTGTCAACATATCTTCCTAGAATTAGGAATGAGAATCATTCAGAGATGGACCACATTAAACTATTTGTATAAACATTTTTTTTTTTTGCATACATGAACAAACAGGGGTCTGGGAAGGGGTGAGGGGAAGGATCGAGTTAATATTTCTTTACATCTTAATGGTTGAAAACTCCTAAAATGAATGTTGACCTCAAATCTAACTTGTCCTCATTATTTTTCAAATGGTGGTGTCTCCATATGAGTGAAAAATTCCTGAGAGGGATGTTTAACAACAAACAAAATGACATAAAAACACAATATTGATTTGCGTTAAGAAATATGCAGGGGATTTTTTCCATCATAAATCTTCTTCTCAAGAACAGCAAGGGCATTCTTGTCCCCCATTTTGGGGAAAGGGAGGGGACACTAAATCTCATTTGTCTGTCAGTCTGTCCATCTTATTGACAGCTAGTATGTGCATCTGTCACAATAAATTTAACCTTGGTCATAACTTTTGAATGATAAGAGATAGTGCTTTCATATTTCACATGCACATTACCACAAAACTTTCTAAATATACTATGATTTTTTAACCCAAGTGAGACCTTGACCTTAAAGTTTTACCTACTTTCCAAAAAATAACATTTTAAATTGATCATTTTGAAAGAGAAAAGAAAGGGCATTCAGATTATACATGTTTATTACATGTGAAAAGACTTTTCTAAATATATCATGACTTTTGACTCTGTGACCTTGACCTAGAAGTTTAACCTACTTTTCAAAAATATTATATTGTATATATAACTTTTGATTTAAAAGAGATAGGACTTTCATATTTGACATGTACATTACCTGCAACAAAATGTTTCAGAGCATGCTATGATTTTTCCCCTTTGACCCAATTTTCAAAAATTGATATATGATAGGGGTGCATATTTGACACACAATCTGCCATAAATTATGGTATCTCATTCAGTAAAACACAGAAAGCAGAGGACCACAATTCTTTGAATTTGCTTGTATAATCTTGATAGATGGAACATGCTCATATAATGTAGATTCAAGTTTTTTATGCCACACCATGATTAGGAATACATGTATAGTTTTTGTCATGTCCGTCCTCCACCCTTCCATCTGTCTTTCCATCGGGCTCAAAGAAACTTTCTAGATATTTTTATCAAAGTTCATATGTTGATGCATACTGATGTAAATATCCAACTGCAGCAATATTTTTTGACTTTGACTTTTCCTTTGACCTTCACTTAACTTTTCTTTAAATTAGTGTTTAGCTTTATTTTAAAGAAACCATTCAAGTTGTGTAATGAAACTTCACATGATGATACATACTGATGTAAGCTTTACGATGCTTCACTCTTTTTTACCTTGACTTTTCCTGTGACCTTGATATCACTTTTCTAAAATTAATGTCTAGACCAGTTTTGAATAAACAATTCAAGATATATTTATCAAACCTCATATGCTGATACATACTGCTAAGAGCTATTAATACGTCAACTTATTTTGACCTTGAATTTTCCTTTGACCTTGACCTCACTTTTTAAAATATCATTTTTCGACACCATTAGTCCCCCCGGGGCAAATTCAACATTCCAAAACCTTACTGTACATCTACATGACACCACCAACCATCTCCCAAAAGATGATTAGGCTACTGTGTAAAATGTAAGAGGAGTTCAGGGAAAACAGGGCTTTTTGCATAAAAAACGTCATTTTTCGACCCCCTTTTGACCCCCTGGGCCAAAATCAAAATTCCGAAACATTGCTGCACATCTACATGTGTACATGACACCACCAACCATCTCCCAAAAGATGATTAGCCTACTGTGTAAAATGTAAGAGGAGTTCAGGGAAGACGGGGCTTTTTGCATAAAAACATCATTTTTCGACCCCCATTTGACCCCCTGGGGCAAAATCAAAATTCCGAAACCTTACTGCACATCTACAGGACACCACCAACCATCTCCCAAAAGATGATTAGGCTACTGTGTAAAATGTAAGAGGAGTTCAGGGAAGACAGAGCTTTTTGCATAAAAAACATCATTTTTCGACCCCCATTTGACCCCCTGGGGCAAAATCAAAATTCTGAAACTTTACTGCACATCTACAGGACACCACCAACCATCTCCCAAAAGATTATTAGGCTACTGTGTAAAATGTAAGAGGAGTTCAGGGAAGACGGGGTTTTTGCATAAAAAACATCATTTTTCGACCCCCATTTGACCCCCCGGGGCAAAATCAAAATTCCGAAACCTTACTGCACATCTACAGGACACCACCAACCATCTCCCAAAAGATGATTAGCCTACTGTGTAAAATGTAAGAGAAGTTCAGGGAAGACGGGGCTTTTTGCATAAAAAACGTCATTTTTCGACCCCCATTTGACCCCCCGGGGCAAAATCAAAATTCCGAAACCTTACTGCACATCTACATGACACCATCAACCATCTCCCAAAAGATGATTAGGCTACTGTGTAAAATGTAAGAGGAATTAAGGGAAGACGGGGCTTTTTGCATAAAAAACGTCATTTTTCGACCCCCATTTGACCCCCCGGGGCAAAATCAAAATTCCGAAACCTTACTGCACATCTACATGACACCATCAACCATCTCCCAAAAGTTGATTATGCTTCTGTGTTTTATGTAAGAGGTGTTCTGGGAAGACGGGGCTTTTTGCATAAAAAACGTCATTTTTCGACCCCCATTTGACTCCCCGGGGCAAAATCAAAATTCCGAAACCTTACTGCACATCTACATGACAACACCAACCATCTCCAAAAAGAGGATTAGCCTACTGTGTAAAATGTAAGAGGAGTTCAGGGAAGACGGGGCTTTTTGCATAAAAAACATCATTTTTCGACCCCCATTTGACTCCCCAAGGTAAAATCAAAATTCCGAAACCTTACTGCACATCTACATGACACCACCAACCATCTCCCAAAAGATGATTAGGCTACTGTGTAAAATGTAAGAGGAGTTCAGGGAAGACGGGGCTTTTTGCATAAGAAACGTCATTTTTCGACCCCCATTTGACCCCCCGGGGCAAAATCAAAATTCCGAAACCTTACTGCACATCTACAGGACACCACCAACCATCTCCCAAAAGATGATTAGCCTACTGTGTAAAATGTAAGAGGAGTTCAGGGAAGACGGGGCTTTTTGCATAAAATACGTCATTTTTCGACCCCCATTTGACCCCCCGGGGCAAAATCAAAATTCCGAAACCTTACTGCACATCTACATGACACCACCAACCATCTCCCAAAAGATGATTAGGCTACTGTGTAAAATGTAAGAGGAGTTCAGGGAAGAAAAGTGTGACAGACGGACGGACGGACGGACGGACGGATATGAGTAACAACAATATACCCGAACTTTCTTTAGAAAGTGCGGGTATAATGACACATTGAGCAAAGATATTGATCGCCATTTAATAAAAAAAATATCTTTTGTCTTTTTATCTTTTAGTAAGATTGTTATAATTCCTTGTTTCTGAGTGGTAGATAGTTCTCCCTTTTGAAATCTATAATTAATTGAATTAATTAGGAACCGCCCAATATCCTTCCAAAAAAGTGTGAAAATCATCTGTAAATCCATCAATTCCTAGACTTTTTCAATTTTCATGTTTTTGCAATTCTGTTAAGGTTTCGGCTTTAGTTATTGTACCTTCTGCCTGACATCACGTTTCTTTATTTACAATTTTTATATTATCCATATCAAAAGTACTTTTCAAGTCGATATCCTATAATTTATCATCAGTGCATCCATATAGATTTTTGTAAAAGTTTTCAATTTCTGAATATATTTCAGATTGTTCAATCTTGAGTTAGTTTGGTGACTGTTTTGTTTATAAAATTCCTTTTTTCCAAGCTTAAAAAATACTTTGTCGGCTTTTCCCCTTCTTCTATTTATTTATCTTGTCTTCTCACAAACAAACCAGGTTACCTTCAACAAATTCTTTTCATCTAACTTCCTAATTTTTTTTTTTATAATTTCAGGTGAATCATCAGTGTTTCTATTGATTTTAGGTGAGGTATTTCTTCTTCCAATGATTTTATTTTTATTTTCTTTTTTCTTTCTTGAATAATAACTAATTGTAGCCCCTCTTACTCTTGTCATGATTGGTTAATAATGGAAAAATTCTTCGACAATTCGGTGTAAATAATGACCTAACAGTAAGTATGAAAAACGTTAGTCACCATTTGACTTAGAATATACTTCATCGTTTAAAAAACTGTTCATTGGCACAGCTTGCTCTCGCATATCGAATCAACTAAGAGATATAAACCTTGTATGCCGGTTATTTAGGTATATTGCTGCATAAGGAAGTTGAAAGTTACAGTCATCACGTTTACCATATAGCTTGGTTGTTAGATTACCATTAACGTATATTTCAAGTAAACTATCCAAATAAGAAACAGATTGTTGGACTCTGTGGTATCTCTTATTTCAAGGTCACAGGATATGTTGAGTCGAGGTATGATAGGAAGTACATATTGTAACTTTTGTTAATTGAACAGTACGCAGTCGATATATTTCAATGCCGATTTGAAGGACATAACAAGTGCATTCTTCTTTTCACATATTTTGGACAAATTCTTCTTTTTATGAATACAAAATCAGAGCTTCTAACAACGAGGCTCAATTGATATTCATTGGAATTCCTATAGGTTGTTGGAAGACCTGGACTCCAACAACCACAAAGACATTGTCAATCAGAAACGCATCATATTTTTTAATATCAACTTTAGAATATATGTTCAATCAAAATGTTTTATGCAAATGACCAATGAAAAGGTAAGTGAATTTTCGAGTTCCAATTTTATAGAAAAAAAATACAGTTGTCAACGAAAACAAAATGTCTAGACTTAAATTTATCGTGGGGAATGGTTGTACATAAAGTTAAAAAGTCGTAAGGTTTTGTTACTTATTTTGGCAAAGCATGTATATATTTTGACATTTATTGAAATGAAGTTTATATGTATGATGAAAACATTGTCATCTTATTAATCTAACAGATGTTTGAATTTGTAACCAGAAATAAGTATTTTTTTCTTCTTTTACAGATCGGAATTTAAATCTCGAAAGTTATTAATAGTCTATATATTTTAGACAAAAAAATGTCAGTTTAAAACTTGTCCATCTGTTTTCTCCTCCAGAGGGATAACTGTAAATTTAAACGAACACGCAACGTTTTCGGTATCAGATTTACTCAAATGTTAATAAACATGCAATATTTTCATATATCTTCTTTGGTAACAGATGCACTAAAACCCTGACAAAAACAATTAACATTAGGGCACTTGTTCCCATCTCTGAAGTTTAAGAGGTCCGTGTTCGTTCATCTCCTATTTTTTAATGTTAAATGGTCTTTTAAGCTTGAATATTGTTCCTTATCCCCACATATTCTATAGGTGTTTATTTATGAAATATGGAGATTTATGAAGTAAATATGTTTATTTCGACTATATTTAATCACGTATCAAAAATTTTGCAAATAACCCATTTTAGCAATTACACATACCAACAACGTTCTTCATGAAATATAGCCAAATAATATCAATCTTGTTTATATACTTATACCTTTATATATTAGTACATGTATCAATTGATAGAATCTAGTCATAACTTACCTGTCTTATAAAGAATATTTTCAAATTAAAAGTAGCAGCTATATAATACATCAGGCAAATTAATTTGTATATAAAAAGAATGGGGAATGATTACAAAAATAAAATAAAAAAATAAAAAAAATAATCGAAGGAAAATAACAATGAGTTCATATAAACAGTTGCTATAAACAAAAAAGCAAAAAAGAATAGCAAAATAAATTGAGCCTTACTTTATTAATGTTCATAAACAAAATGCAAAATAAAATGGGAAAGATCAAGCACTATAACGTATACTGTACAATAGTTCTATTTTATTTAATTACAGTTGTATTTACGGAATCTCTAATTTTCATACACAGATATGACTTCAGTCATATACTTCTTTGATATTTTTTTCGGCTGGAAAAATAAGCTGTGATAAATAAAGATACATGGTACATATGTTAATTAGAGAATTTAATAAGAAATGCTAAATATTTATTTATACTCAATTTTACACTTCATAAATTTGCTTCATTTGAAAATATTTTTACTGTGTATTATACGCATATTGTTTTTATGCCTATGAGATGTAACGTTATGTCTTTTGGTTTTAATAAAATCTAAATGGTTTCAATAAAATCTAAAATTTAAAAATTAAGTACGTGTTTTTAATTAAAATTCAAGCGTCCTCATTAAGCTACAGTGCGATTTTAGAATTTTGCAAAATCAATAATTCAAAATTTTTCTTTGATAGCCCATGCAGCAACAGATCTACACTTCTAAAGAGTAAGAAACTATGTTTAAATACCAATAAAAACTAATGAATACCGAGCAATCAAATTAAACATACAATGTATGTCTTGATGTTAATACTATTAGAATCAGGATCCACAGAATAACCGAAGCGTAAATAAGAGGATTACCCTTTACTTCACTTCGCCATTTTATTTCAGATATAAAAAGATGTCGTTTATATTTCATTTGTGTATAAAAAAAATTATTACGAGTAAAGAACAAAAATTCATATATTCAGAAAAATTTCGGGAAAATGCACAGTTAATACAAATCGTCTATGATAAAATTAAACCTTTGCGCATGCGGTATGATCAACATTTCTATATAAGTAGAAATGTTCGCTTATATTAAAAATTAAACGTATAGTGGTTTAATTCATTTACTTCTTTTATCATTATGAGAAACAGCTTTTTATTGATTTTCGTGTTCTGTGGTAAGAACTTTGAGTAGTTTTTTTAAATGAGATCATTCACTTCCAAGTCATATATTTGAGTAACGTGTCCAAGTAGTAAATAACAAATAATTTATGTTTTTGTATTTTATTTAGACAATCTTCTTCAAATCTGCACTTCAATGGAATTTTGAATTATTAATGCATTATCTAAAAAGTTCTTCTTCTTTTTTTTTTTTTTTTTTTTTACAGTTAATTTATTTATTTTATGTATTGTATATTGAAGGTTGGGATATTCATTAAATACAAAACGTAATTACTACGTGATGCCTTCTAGTATCGTTCATTGGAAATGATAGACATTCAAAATATATTGCGTATGTTGTCTTTTGTTACACTTATAAATGATGTAAGCTTATTTCCATTTGTTTTCAAAATTCCATTACAGCTCAACGCACTTTTTAAGCTCACATGGTTTTTCGCACAAATTAAGGTCACATTGTTGTAATAAAAAATACCATTATCGAACTGCAGTACAATGACATAACCCTTCGTTATATTACATATATAATGTCAAGCATAAATGTATTTTAAAATTATTATCTTAAGTTTCCAAAGTAGATGTTTAAAGGGGAATTTATTAATAAATGGGAGGATGTTTAGACTATACTATTCTAACATAGGTTTTTACAAATTTTATAAAACGAGCTTTCCTTGAAACTATGTTGTTTAAGATTTTAAATTTTCTTCTTCAAGGTGAGTATTGTTTTAAAATCTTTGCTCATTTACCATACACCTCTTGGTTTTTTCGAAATGTAGCGCAAAAAAGGGAAAACATTGCAGAAAGAAACCACGCTAAAGGGTAGGATAATGAAGTATTGTTTATTTTTTTAAATAGTAAGTTCCTTCTATGAAAAGAAAAATTCTTCTGCATTTACGGTTTGAAACGTTAAAATTTTGCAGTGGGATTAAGCTCTCATGATTCTAGATTTTAGAAGTTGACTCTTAAAACCCTCACCTTATTAACATAGAAAGCATTCAAACAGATGCAAAATACAATTACCACCCCGAGTTAAAGAGTCAAAATGAAAAGAAAATACAAGTTACAGAAGCTGTACTGTGTCCATGTCTTCGTTTCTGCCAAGAGCTATTGCTTTAGAAAGAACGGTTAAAAAGAAAGGTGCAATTGGCCAGAAACCACAAAAATTCAAATGAGAATAGTTGTTTTTTTTTTAGCCATGAATATATCGAATTCTACCTATTGATTTATGTGAGTTATGTTTCAGTAAATGAAATTAAAAAAAGTAAAATTCAAATTATGTAAACAAATACTTTTAAAATGAATTTTGTTGTCTCGATACACAATTTTACATCATAAGAATGTGACCTTAATTTGTGCGTGAGCTTAAGGTAGGTCGCGGGTTTACTGCATAAAAATTCTACATATATAATGTTCCTTAGAATTCACAGCGTGTTATCTGCAATTTTTATTAAATTTGCCTACGTAGTTTTAATGCTATATTACTGTAAACGCGGTATTGTTGTTAGTACTTTTTTTACGCTTTACTATTAAAATGTATGGGAAAATGACGTTTTAAGCCAATTTTGTGAAAATAGTTTCTTTTAAAAAGATTGGATAACTTTTTAAAGACGTAGACGAATTAGTCAGGAATTTCAAATATGAAGATGAGGTAAAATCAAAACTATTACTTTAAAAAAATCAATATGTCTTATCGCTAGATTTTTTGCTAAATAATTTCAAAGTTTTCTTTTATACTGCTAAAATGTTGCGTTTATGGCGTTATTTACAACGTCATTTATTGAACGTAGTCACGTCCCGTTTACAGTATACGAGTATAAATATCTTGACTTTTGGAATATGCAAGATTTAAAAGGTGACATAGATACAAAATTTAATTTTATTCATCATTTAATTTATTGCGGAGACATACTAGGATGACCAGCAACTTATTTTAACTAGTATTGTGACATTCATATTCTGATCATTGAATCAAAATGAAAGGTATAAACATCCCTCGTTTATGAGAATTAACGTACAGAGACAAACGCGAGTGATAAAATATTAGTACTTGTATTTTTAGGAAATTCATGGTCAATAGGATTTCAGACATAACACAGAAAATTGATCACTTTATTCGAAAACGGTAAGAAAAACATCCCGATACTGAGGAAATAAGCGGGGGGGGGGGTGGTATCTGCAATGTTCTTTCTATATTAATCGCAAGCTATAGTAAATGGCCCTAAATCTCAGGCATTTGTTAATTTCGAATTATCTGAATCAAATTTCAATACGCAAAATGTAAAACACTTGCATTTACCTTATACACTTTGAGCTTAGAAAAAAAAATTATACTTGTAAATTGTTTATAGTGTCTTATAAGTCTTACAGCAAAGGTGTTTGAATAAATTTGATTTTTAGCTGCATTTCACAATTTATTAGCCAGCAAAACAAGAAGGCGAATGCACGAGATTTAAATACATAACAACCAAACACTAATGAAAACCCAAGAAAATACATATAATTAAATTTAACCCGTTTTTAGTGATGAGGATTGATTCCATCCTGAAAAGTATACGCATATTTTCGCCCCGGCTTTGATTGGCAGTCATGATGCAACACGCATGTTCCCCTGATTTTCAAATAACGTGCGCACATACAACCCCTCAATTTTCCCGCTTAGCAATTTTTACTCATGATAACTTCCTTTCTGCAAACCATAACTTTTACGCTGATTTATACTGATTGACTCTTAGCAGTTTAATTACACTTACAATATAAATTATTCCTTTCTTTTTGTATTGTATTTGATTAATTAGTCCTAAGACATTACATATAATCACATCAGAATTCAGACTGAAATTTAATTATAAAACATGTATGAAGTTTACGTACAGTAGCATGCACTCTGTATTAATCTACTTGATTCGTACAGACTTGAAGTCATTTGCAGAGAATTAAACGGGAAACAACGTAACGTTGCCTTTGTGACGTTACTGACGTCATAATCAAATGTGCACAAAAACAACAGCTCGGATCGTCGAAATTGTGTACCAAAATTGATGACAAAAGCAAACCCGCGACCTACCTTAAAAAGTGCATTGAGCTGTACTTGTGACGCAAAATTCCTCAAAAACTTTACTAGAGGGAGATTTTGGATTCTTGAAACAATTGAAATTATAAAAAAAAATCTCTTTACAGGAAAAGTTTTATGAACAATATACTCAGTAATTCTATTCTCACATCAAATGATTAGTTTCTTTTGTAAACAATGTATGATAATTAATTAAACTTCAAAATTGGCTGTATTTCTGATTAAGGGTTTGGCGCATCAGCGAGATGTCCCAATCACTGGATACGATATTCAAACAGCTGCTATCTGTTCGTCACTCGTTATCATTTGGAATGGATTGATGCAATGGTAATACGCATTCACAGGATTTTTCTACAATCAGCATAGTCATAACATTTACCGGTATATTATGAGGACGACTTCTTTTTATATAAAAACGCGTAAGAGGTTATCGGAGAACAGTGCATTATTTTGCAAATAATTTGTATTAATTTTGAAGTGTTTCTATAAAAATTTAAAATCCTCCCTTTCGACGGGTTGCATTTAATATTATTAACTACAAGTTCAAGAAATAAAAGTATATTTTGTCGAGTATCGGGGTTTATTTAGATTTTATTCATCTTATTCTAGACATTTTGCAAGGCCTACGGAGCAATATTGGCAGAGGCAAAATCGTCATCAGTAAACAACTTTCTTAAACATGAAGCTAGACGCCTTACACATAATTCAGGTTTGTAGATTTTTCTCATACGCAGATTATATCGTAGCAACTCGTAGACCGCGAAAATACGTATAAAATCTTTAAATTCCTGCCAACCTTTGTATGTCCAATTCTTTAAAACAATTGCATTTTGAAGCTGTTATAAGGTATAAGACTAAAAGACGCAATTATCATTTAAACTTAATTAAAGTAAAATATATTAATTCAGCATCAAGTTAAATCAAGACCTATAAAGGTAACAGATACACATTGACAAGCATTGATTTATATTTATTCAATATTACTGTACTTATATTTATTTGTTGTATGTTGTTACCGTCTCAGTTCGTTTAAAATTAATATCATTGTTTTCCTATTGGACTTTTGTGAGAAGTACTGACTTTTACAGTTGACGATTTACTTGACATTTAAACCTGCATTAAGTAAGAAGGTACAAAATTGAAAACCTTTCTAGTGGTCATAGGTAGTGCCCCTTACGTTGTTAGGGGCACTAATATGTGAAGGCCGGGGGTTGAGGGTAGGGTGGTTGTCGTTTTCTTTATGGACAATTTATTCTTGCTTTGAAATCACAGGCACTTGTTTCTGTAATCAATTTTTGACCCATAGTATAATAATAACACTTGTTATTACAGAAACAAGTGCCTGTGTTTGAAATAACCCGTTATTGTGGTTAAATAAAATGTTGAGGTAAATATTTATTTCGTAAAAGAGTTTCCGTATATTGTTCATGTGTAAAAATAAGCTGTCAACTGTAAAAGTCAGCGCTACCCGCAAAAGTCGATTACAATAATTTAACAAATAGTTCTGTAATATCTGTGGGATGCCCACACCTCAATGGTACCTGATCTCACCTCTGTTTTGGTGATCCGTGTTTTCTCTGCTCCTGATTTGTATTGTTTGCAGGGACTTTTAATTTAAGCTCGAATACTGTTTGTTATCTTCATATATAGTACATGTATTTTTTCCTTTCAAAACGCTGTTTTTCCTACAGACCAATATATTTCCTTCATAGACTTCTCGATTTCTGCCTTTCTACTGTTTTGTTCCAATTTCTGTTTTTTAATTGATAAAAAGAAGCAATAAATTCAAATTCTCAAATTGCAGGAGTTTTTTGGATTGGAGGTACAGATATCTTTATTGAAAGAGCATGGAAGTGGATGGGCAGTAACACTAGGTTTTATTATTCTAACTGGTGGCGTGGAGAACCCAATAATTATTCCGGGGGTGAGCACTGCGTGCAATTACACAGTTCCTATAATTATGCTTGGAATGATGCCACATGTCAAGACAGAAATAAGTTTATTTGTCAAAAAAATACGTAAGATACAGTTTCAAAATATCCAGTTTAGATATGGTAAAGAAACAACATGACTAATTTATATTATTGCAAAATTAAAACATATGGAACAAAGGTAAATCAATCCATTGATTATTTCGTTTTGTTTTTGCACATTTCTATATATGAAAATTATGTAAATATATTTTTCATGTTTTAATGAAGAGTTTACAATTTATTCTGTAATTGTTGGTGCTGGGGAGTCGGACAGATGAACATGTGGGACCTCCACCCCCAGCCAGCAGACTCTTTCCATGTGTTCATAACTATCTTTATTTTATTGATACTGGTGCCTTAAAGTTATTCAATAAAGAATTAAAGTATCAATTTGTCAAACATGTAGATACTGCCTGTATATTGCCCGCTCTTTGAATTTATTTAATAAATGGTGTCTAAACTTCTAAAGTTTTGATTGTTTGTTAGAAGGACTTAACAGCGATTCTTTGATTATAAGTTTCCTTCCCTTTGCACCGATATTATGTCTGTTGAAAGGTGCATATAAATCTTTATTTTAATTCAGTGTATTCAAACTAATCGATCATCACATCATCTCGAGCTTTATGTCATCGGTTGGAAAACCATCATTCGAGGTTTTTTTCCGCTTGTGGATCTCTGCAAAATTGCAGCAATAACATAACGAGTTTTTTTTTTCTCAAAACGATGTTAAAATACTATATTTAAAAAAGTATTTATAATTAAGTTACTTTGCCATCCTCATAAAAAAATCGCAATTACAAGGGAGCCAACTGGGGTTTCCTTGTGTTGCAAAGTAAAATGAAGCGTATTTACTGCTTTAAAGCAACTTTATTTTTGCAAAATCAACAACGTTAACATTTAACAAAATGAAGAAATTACTGGTTGAAATTTTTATTTAAAAAATATAATATAACTGTTTTTTTTTTTAAAATTTTCAACTGATAGGTAGATTGATGTCGTTAAAGTGGGCTATTAACGTTATGACAAACTGAAGCTCTTATAAATTTAAGAAGTGGTCCTTAAATGTCATTAAAAACGATTTAATATGTACTAGAAACTTGTTGCGAGCAACGAAAGGTCTTCCGTCCGAATAACCGTTCTTATATTTGGTATTCTTGCATGTAACATTACATTGCATGTAACTGGCTTGTTGATAATAAATTATCGTTACATTTAGGTAAAACTGAATGCATTTTATTTGGTTCCAAAAGAAAGCTTCAAAATGTTGAAAAGTTCCAGGTTGTATGTAATGACCATAACATTGATTGTAAAGAAAAAGTTAAATATCTTGGAGTTTTGATCGACAGATGTTTAAGTGGTGAATACATTGTTGAATCGATTGCCCAGAAAGTAAATAATAGATTGCGATTTCTGTACCGACAAGCCCGGTTTTTAGATACTTTTTGTAAAATGACTCTGTGTTCAGCATTAATACAATGCCATATTGATTACGCCTGTAGTGCTTGGTATGCAGGACTATCCAAAACTTTAAAGAAAAGGTTACAAATTTGTCAAAACAAGATGGTTCGTTTTATTTTGAATTTAGGTCCTCAGGCAACTGTTAATTACGAAATACTTAGTCAATTAAATTTATTAAATATTCAAGATAGAGTTTCTCAGCTTAGACTCAACCATGTTTTTAATATTTTTCAAGGAAAAGCCCCTTCTTATCTTAATGAACATTTTATACTTCGGTCAAATTTTAGTAGCTATCATACTAGATCAGTCTCAAATGCAGATTTTGTCGTTCCAATAACTAAGCAAAAACAATCTGAATCATTTTATTTTAATGGAATCAAAGACTGGAACATGTTACCAGCACAAATTAAACCTGTTTTAAATACTGGAAATAATTTTGCTTTTAAAAGAAATGTCAAGAAATTTTTATTAGAAAGGGGAATTGCCCAGTGTAAAAGTCAAGTTGTGTTTTATTAGTTTTCATTATTAGTATAAGTTGTTCCAATTACAATCATGTGAATATTTGGTATACATTCACAATACACTTCATTTTTAAGGATCTTTGTGTTGTCAACTTGATCCCATATCTTAGCTATAGTATTTTAATTTTATATTTATCTGCTTATATTATTTAACATCCAATTAATATACATGTTTGAGTATAAGGACCCCATTGGAAATAAGCCATTGGCTTTCATGGGTTATCCTTGGTATACAAATATAATCTTATGTGAATCATATTTATAAATTCATGTCTTTTAAAAATGATTGATTCCGATATTTTATATCAATTATATTGTTTAATGCCATCTTTTATATATATATATCTTAAATTATATTGTGAATATTGCAACGTATGTGTAGTATACCAAATAAATATCTATCTATCTATCTATCTATTTATATATGATCGGTAAGACACCTAAACTGTAAAAATGCAGGGATTAAAAAATATATTTAAAAAAAATTAAAGTAGCCCCGAATATTCACTAAAAAATGCCAATCATTATTCATAAGGATCAAAGCATAAACTTGAGCTATTTTATAATTGAAACTTGCAGGAATGTTTTGCCCAAAAACATGTCATTGATCTACGACTGTCAAGGAATCAGATACCATTTACGTTCAATAATTTGCATTAGACCTATTAGAAAAAAAATTCAAAAAATGCATTTATAAATATTTGATTAGAATTGATTTAAACTTCATTAAACAATCTTTTTGAAAAAAAATGTTTTTTTTTGTGTGTGTTTTCTTTTTATTTTATGACACAAACCTACATGGTTTTATTCCTAAGAATCACGCTTATATTGTACAATCAAAAACAACTTCAATAAAATCAATGGCACTAAAAGAACAATTGACTGAAATTCACTATATATATTAATCAAAATTTCTAAGTTCTAAGGCAAGTTTTTGATGTACACTACTTTTATATTAAATTATTTTGACAGTATAAATTAATAAGTAAACAGGATAAAAAGAAGCAAATTTTGTTTGCGGTATTTGTTGAACATCTAGTGATTTCTAATGATTGTAAGGGATTCAAGTAAGCTTTGTTCAACTTTGGACGGCATTGTAAAAGGTTTTATAAAAAATAAACAAATATAGGGAAAGGAAACTCAATTCTACTTTACTACCACCAGTTTGGAGCGTGTCAACTTCACTTGCACATTGTTGTGCGGACACGACATTTTAATCAAGCTTTTTCTTGTTTTTCGTAAACAACTTAAGATGGGGAACACGTGGAAATTTAAATAAATGAAAGATACACCCGAAAACAAATGAATCTTGCACTTTATGTTTCTTAACAATAACGGTCATGGTTGAGTAATTACACATTCGATAACAAAATTTTTGGCTGTGACAGGTGTTTATGCAAATTATCACGCAATCCAATCGATTGATCACATGAAATAAAAAAAATAAGACAGTTATTCTTTAACTATGGCTACCACTCATCATTTCTATATGCATTAACAAAGGTTTTCCTCATCTCCTCCACGTCCAACGTCCCTTCTGATGGTAAATTCCAACGGTGTCACAATCTCATCACACAAACCAACATACAGGAACTCTGATATATAAGTGGATAGTGCTCCCCATTCTGTATATCAATTTTAGTAAATAAGTCATATTTGAACTTTTGATAAATATTGCACGAGTAACACCTGTAAAAAATTCTTTTACAACTTAAAAAAGAAGAAATTATTTTGAGGTTTGGTCATTTATACAAAGAGCTGTGTAGTTACGTTTAAGATATAGACACATGTCATCAACATGGTCACAAAAAGGGTGGACAAACTTTGGATATTGGGATTTGATTGGGAGGGAAAGAATGTCTTTGTTACCCCACGTTTGGGTCGAAATAGTAGATGGTTCGGTGTAAAATACTCAGGATGGAGTCTCCAAAATGGAGTCTCACAAAGTGCAAGAGGTGGAGCTTCTTAAGTGATTCAGGTGGTGCAAGGTGTGGAGAGTCTTGTTAAAGTTTTTGCTCTTGCTTATTAAATCTGTCAACATAAAGTCTTATTTCCCTTTATAACTTATTAGAATGTTATGTTATCAAAACAATTAAAATAAATCTGAATGCATTTATTTCATGTCAAATCAATTCTGTATTGACCATTTGACAATATCTTTTGGAGTATAATTTAATGAGAAACAGCTAAGAAAAAGTTAAACAATTTACGACCTTTATGTGTTTACAAGGAGAACAGGTCTGCTTTTAATTTTTTAAGATAACAGAGGCTAAATAAAAGAGAAGAAACATCATTATTATCCTTTCGTGCATTGTTGTCATTTTCTTTTCTCAAAAAAGAAAAACAAACGAGAAACAAAATATAAGATGCTTTCCCAAAAAATGACTTTAATATACATGTATCGGCAGCTATAGTGGCATATAATCTAAGCTTTTGATTTATAACATAATTTATGCCAATAAATTATTTATGTATGTTGCATCCCCTGTGGTCGAGTATTTGTTTGTACTATTTTTAACGTGATCTAGGGACGAGTTACTTTATCTGATGCGCATTCCGTATTATGTAAACAAAGAAAATTTCAGGCTTAGCACCTCCCTCCCCTCCTCCTTATATATACAAATAGTATCAGTGATATTTGAATGTTATTTTGTATACATGTTTTTTCTGCCACTTTACAAAAACAGCCTTTTACATTTGCATGTACTCTTTTGTGCATTTGAACTTGTAATTGCCTTTTACAGTGTCCAGGGGGATAGCGCCCCCCCCCCCCCCCAAGGGGTATTTATCACGGGTACTAGTTGTGATATGACTATATATTTTTTACTCATATATGTCTAGTCTGCGTATGATATTCTAGTCACATAAGCTGGTGATGTACAGTATTGCATTTTTGCCTTTTGATGATGTACAGTTACATTTTCTATACAGATGTAAGCAATGGAACTTAAGTAGTCTTGACATTATATGTTATTTTGTATATATGTTTTTCTTACCACTTTATAAAAAAAAACTGCCTTTTACATTTTCATGTACTCTATTTTGCAGTTGTACTTGTAATTGTTTTTTTACAGGGAATGTTAATTTCGATTGTTTTTTTCCTCTGTCATTTATTTTCAGCCGAATGTTTTGTGCAATATTTTACAGGAAAATAAATGACATTCAACTCTCTGATTATCTTATTTTCTATTGGCATTAGGCAGACATACATAAATTTCGTTAGATAAGAGATACTGAGTGCAAGGGAAACCATTACCTAGTAATTAACATTGGTAAGATTTATGGTCTGCACTCCAATCATTAGTTATTCGTGAAGTCTTGACATATATAATTATTTTAAAGGAACTTTACTGAATGAAAGATAAAATAAGCAATGTATTAAAATTGACTAAGGAGGCTCCACCCTATGCACTTTGTGACACTCCATTTTGGAGACTCTACCCTCATTTAAAACCAAGCCAATAGTAGA